CCCCAAGTCAGCTTCTGCTGAAACTGACCAGCGCTGACTACAGGAAGCCCCAGGCAGAGTTGCTCTGCCCCGGGCTTCCTGGAATCAGCTGCTGATCAGTTTCAGCAGCAGCTGACTTGGGGACGCCTGGGGTTTTTAAGTTGATTCTGTATGTAAGTCAGAACTGGCGGTCAGTTTCAGCAGTGTCTGAATGTGGACGCCAGTTCCGACTTACATACAGATTCAACTTAAGAACAAACCTACAGTCCCTATCTTGTACGTAACCCGGGGACTGCCTGTATTATAATCCTAGCACAAAGAGCCTAGCATCTTCCTAGTGGAGAATATCTGTTTTGTTAGTTGTTCAGAAGTCTCATTGTACTGTTACAATATATTGATCCCATAATTTCTACCTCCTCACTTTTCTCCTAAAGGGATGTGGAAAGCTACACGGATGACTCAGATGATGATTACCCAGAGCATCTGGTAAGTCCATATTTCACTCTATATGGTATAATGCAATTGAAATGAACATGCAGTACACATATGAAATATATCAATACTCGTTACTTAAAATATACAAGCATTAAAATAGAGCTGTCACCATACATTTGGTTAAGGCCCAAACTTTGGTTTAGAATTCATTTATGGTGAGACTGGTTTTTTAAAATACATGTTTCAGTACTACAGGTTGAAACTCTCTTAACTGGGACTCTCTGGTCCAGCAGCATCCGGACCATGGATGTTGCCAGACTAGCGTATCCAAGTGGAGAGCTAGCTCCTGGGAGTCCTGCAGGCTGGCAGGGCAGTGGGAGCCCAGTATGGCAGTAGGAGGCAGGCACTGCAGCAGGAGCCAATGTGCAGAGGTGTCAGGGCTGCCCAGTAGGGCAGTGGGAGCTGACAAGGCAGTGGGGGCCAGTGAAAGGAAAGAGCTGGCTGGGAGGCCAGCGATCAGGGCAGAGCTGGAGGGGGCTATTGGCAGGGGGCCAGAAATGATATCCCCGGTCCAGCAATATCCCTCATCTGGGACTGCTCAGATTCTGAGGGTGCCGCACTAAGAAGGTCCAACCTTTACTGGAGTTTGTAGAAGTCGGCATCCTAGAAGTTACACCTGCCACAGTATCTCTGACCAGCTATGCCCACTCCATTCTGGCTGGCTATGCTGTTCCTTGGATACCAACCTGCTAATGGCTTGGTTGATGCCCTCATTCTGACAAACCAGAGGTAGCATGTTAGAATGAGCGCATCAGCCGGCAGCCCCCAGCTGGAAACCTGGTAGATGTGAAAAAGGTGCAAGAATATGGCTGGGGGCCATTTCTGAAGAAGGGGGGCATAGCAAATGTATGGGGAGAGGGCAGAATAGAGACTCAGTTATTGCATTAAGGCTGTTTGCTTGCTGAGGGAGATATCTGCAACCAATTTTTTTTCAAATTTCCTTTTAAATACTTCAACTTTGCAGCACACGAATCACCTGAACAGCTCTCTGTTGACCTTATATCGGAAAGGAGATCCTGATTCTATTCTAGCAACTCCAAAGAATGAGCCTACAGAAACCAGTACCACTGCACAAGTGACAGCTCCCAGAACCAGTGTTCTTCCATCTGGAACCCCGCTTGATACTAGGGTCACTGAAGGTGGATGGTTTATTGATAAAACTCCAGATAGAAGAGAAGACAACTTCTTAATTGACCTTTGTGAGGAAGAAGAAGAAAAAAAACTGGTTTCTGAGGTAATTTCTCATTTAAATCTGGTATCACTTAACTGGGTGTGTACATTTCTTACCTTATGTGATGATGCTTTGAAGTACAGTATGAAGATCAGGCTTCTTCTTCCCCATGTCCAGAAGATACACATTGTATATAAAAACAAGTTTTAAGCTGTTAGTGGGCAAAGCACATTTTTTAATACATTTACAGTGATTCATTCTAGTGGTTGCTGCATTTTCTTGGTGGATGAAACAGTGTAGATTTTAATTTTTGTGAAGCACTCTAAATAGAAAATGATGATGTTAAGATGAAAGTTGGTTGGTGCCATCTTTTTTAATAAATATTGTAACTGTCAAAATATTCTGGTACAAATAATACTAGATTGTGCGTTACAGCACAAATTTGTCTTGTGTATCAAAAACTTTCAAAAAACCTTTGTTTGAAATGCTCAGGTTTAAAGACTGCAAATCTAGTTAATTTTAAAAACCGTTTCAGGAATCACACTTGATTACTTTACCTTTTTCTGTGATTTTACAATCACATTTTGTCTTCTCCTGTTGTGTGACAGTCTCAAGCAACCAGGGGAAATAACAGAGGAAACTGTAAAGGGCTGTCTGAAACCATAAGCCACTATGTTTTTCCTTTACTACAGAAAACAGTTAAGTTTCACTAAAGCTTAAACTGTGTGACAGCTCACTGCCACACTATTCTCTCTTCCTCAACAGCAAAGTCCTTGAGGTTCTGCTAGATAGATAACATTCCGTGGAGCCCAGTTTCCAGAAACATCTCTTTGCAGTATCCTGCCCCTAAACAGGACAGTCACATAAATTGCTACATTACTGCCTCCCAAAGAGACAATATACAGGAGACCCTCACAATTTGTGCAATTACTTTTAGTGGTTCTGCATATTCACGGGTGTTTCCTGGCCTGGTCTTGGGGGGGGATGGTAGGAGTCGCAGCGAGTTTGAGAGCTATGTTGAGTTGCCCACAGCTCCTAGCCCCCTGTAGAAAGTTCAGGAGCCATGGGGAGCTGGCTGTGAGAGCCAGGAGCTGTTTTCCCAACTATTTGCAGATTTTTGCCATTCACAGTGGTGCCAGGTACGCATCCACCACAAATGGCAGGGGTTTCTTATACATGCCAGTGTGCTTGTCTAGCTAAGGACCTGCACTGACTTTAAAATGCAGCACTGATATGGGTAATAGTAAAACTAAGCACACATTTATGACAAAGAACATAGATTTAAATGATACTAAGAAGAGAAAAAGAGGCCGGTCTGGTTTAAAAAAAACAAACACACCTTTCTAGTGCCCAAAATCTGGCTTTAGCAAAGTACAGTCTTTCCCTTAACAGCTCTTTGAGGGTGCGTCTACTCAGCAGCATTATTTCAGAATAACAGCTGTTATTCCTAAATAACAATGAGAGAATCTACACAGCAATTCTGTTATTTCAAAATAAATTTGAAATAACAGATGGCTTATTCCAACTTCTGTAAACCTTATTCCACAAGTAATAATGCCTGTTTCAAAATAGCAGTAATGTAGATGCTCCACTGCTGCTATTTCAAAATAGCTCCTTCCCCAGGCCATTCAAAGTAATTACTCCCCAGTGCCTCCTGGGACTCCAAATCGCAGTAGCACATCCACATTAGAGAAGCCTGCCTCGGACTAATTTTGAGGCTTCTCTGTAGTGTAGGCGTACTATTTCAAAATAAGCTATTTCGGAATATTTCTTTCAGAATAACTTATTTTGAAATAAGTATGCTGTGTAGACGTACTCTTACTCATATCAGTTATCCACATTACTAGCCTCTCATGCAAATGGAGCCACTCGTCACAGAAGCAGAAGGTGCTGATCCTTTTCCCCCAATCTTCCCTTTTATAGTACAGAGTACTTTTGAAATGAACTCCTTGAAAAGTGAACCCACACAAAATTCCTCTCTGCTACTGTGCTTCTTTGGGGTATAGGCACTAAGCTCCTTCATGCTCTGATCAATTTGTTTTCTTAGGTGCAAATGTACTTTTATTACCCTTTGTTTTGTAATCCAGCTATACCGTTTTTCCATCAGACCATTAACTTGATCCATGCAGACAGGGAAATCTATGTTACTTGGTGGAAATACACATATCTCCAAAACTAAACTGAAGAGCAGGGCTACTCAGCTTTGGAAGGGGCCACAATGATACTCAGCATGCCAAGGGCCACAACTTAAGTGTGCAACAAGGAGTCCTATGGCACCTTATAGACTAACAGATGTATTGGAGCATAAGCTTTGGTGGGCAAAGACCCACTTAGTCAGATGCATCTGACGAAGTGGTTCTTTGCCCACCAAAGCTTATGCTCCAATACATCTGTTAGTCTATAAGGTGCCATAGGACTCCTTGTTGCACACTTAAGTTGTGGCCCTTGGCATGCTGAGTATCATTGTGGCCCCTTCCAAAGCTGAGTAGCCCTGCTCTTCAGTTTAGTTTTTAAGGCAAATCTACACAAATTGCAGGCCCCATTTAAGTCAGTTCTGCTGATATTAATAAAATGCAATATTTACCAGATTTCCACCCATATGACAGCACTTCTAATGAGCACTTTTAAAAAGAAAATTGTATTCCAGTGTTTTGGGTGTTTAGCTTGAAGCTTCAGTTTCTGAATTACTTGGAGTGATTTTACTCCGAAAAAGCCAAGCCAGAGCACTCCAACCTGTGGTGGGCAGGGAGCTGGGCGAGTTAAGCCAGACAGGAGAGGCAAAAAAGGACAGATGCCTGGGAACCCCGTCCTGGATTCCCAGCAGGGCTGATGTCCCCAAGTGGGATTCTTTTATAGAACCATAGAGCTGGAAAAGAACTCAGAAGGTCATCAAGTCCAGCCCCCTGCTCTAGGCAGGACCAATCCCAACTAAATCAACCCAGCCAGGGCTTTGTCAAGCCGAGACTTAAACACCTCTAGGGATGGAGACTCCACTACTTCCCTAGGTAACCCATTCCAGTGCTTCACCACTCTCCTAATGAAATAGTTTTTCCTAATATCCAACCTGGACCTCTCCCATGGTGCCCCACATTTTCAGGTGCCCCACCCAGCTACGTGTTCTGTGTCCAGGTAAATCACACCCGTGAAAATCGGTGGTAAATCTTGCCGGGGAGCAGTTAAGTCCTGAATGGTCTTGCAAGGTTGCTTCCTATTCTGGTGCTTAAATGCGGAGCCGAGCACTGACACAGCCAACCGTGCTTTGAAAATCTGGCCATGTGTCCCGGAGAGGATCTTTTTCTCCATATAAATTGGATCATCATCGTCCTTGAGGCGTTCTCTCCCCTAGGCTACGCGGTTGTCATGACGCAGCCCGAGAGAGGAGGACAAAGGCAGGTTGGGGCTGCCGATTGTGTTGCCGGGCCGCTTAGAAAGCTCAGGCAATCAAAAGAAAAAGGAAACCCCTGCTGCTCTCTCTTTCCCCAAGCTGCCTGATAATTTCGCATTGCCACCTAGAGACTAGCCCTGAGTAAGGATACCCCAGTGAAATGCAACACCTTTCAGAGACTTACCTGTGTCTGTTTTCACTTTATCCCTAGCCCTGTGATCAGGCCGTGTGATGACAATGGTAGTGTTTATCTGTTTGGTGTGTTTATACGTGAACAATGTTTGCTTTCTTTTTCCTGCCCGCCCCATTCCTCCTTCCCTTTCCCCGAGCCCATTAAAGTTAGTCAAGGCATGTGGGAAGAACGCAAAGAGGAGGCGAGGGCATTGCTCTTTGACCTTTGCTGGTGACCCGATCGGGCAGGTGAGTGACACCTAAGCCTTTGGCTTCACGGCCACTTAAATGGATCACTCGTCCCTTCTTTTTGCTGCGGGGTTGGAGAAACACGCCTTCTAGCCATCTTTCTATCCATCTTACCGTCCATTTATCCAATCCACATTCCCTTAAATTGCTGGCAAGAATATTGTGGGGGACCATATTCAAGCCTTGCTAACGTCAAGGTATATCACATCCACTGACTTTCCCACGTCCACAGAGCCAGTTACCTCATCATAGAAGCTAATCAGATTGGTCAGGCACGACTTGCCCTTTGTGAATACATGATAACTATTCTTAATCACTTTCCTCTCTTCCAAGTGCGTCAAAATGGATTCCTTAAGGATCCCTTCCATGATTTTTCCAGGAACTGAGGTAAGACTGACAGGCCTATAGTTCCCTGGATCATCCTTCTTCCCTTTTTTGAAGATGGGCACTACATTTGCCTTTTTCCAATCATCCGGGATTTCTCCCGATCTCCACAACTTTTCAAAGATAATGGCCAAAGGCTCCTCAATGACATTTACCAACTCCCTCAGTACCCTCGGATGCATTAAGTCTGGACTCATGGATTTGTGTACGTTTAGCTTTTCTAAATAGTTCCTAACCTGTTCTTTACCCACCAAGGGCTGTCCATCTTCATCCCATCTTGTGTCAGCGCATTAGTCCGGGAGCCAACCTTGTCCGTGACTACAGAGGCAAAGAAAGCATTGAGTACTTCAGCTTTCCCCACATCATCTGTCACTAGCTTACCTCTTTCATCCCGTAGGGGCCCCACACCCTCTCTGATCACCTTTTTCTTGTTAACATGCCTGTAGAAACCTTCCTTGTTATCCTCCACATCCTTTGCCAGTCGCAGTTCCACTTGCCCTTTTACCTTCCTGATAACCCCCCGGCATTCTCGAGCTATACATTTAAACCCCTCCCTGGTCATTTGTCCAAGTTTCCACTTTTTGTAAGCTTCCTTTTTGTGCTTAAGTTCACCAAGGATTTCCCCTGTAAGTCAATCCGATCTCCTACCATGTTTGCCTTTCTTGCTACGCATCGGGATGATTTCTTTCTGTGCCTTCAATAGGCTTCTTTAAAATACTGCCAGCTGTCCTAGTCTCCTTTCCCCTTCATGTTAGCATCCCAGGGGATTCTACCCATCAGGTCTCTGAGGGAGTTAAAATCTGCTTTTCTGAAGTCCAAGGTGTGTATTTTACTACTCTCTTTTCTTCCTTTGGTCAGGATCCTGAAATCTACCATCTCGTGATCACTGCTTCCCAGGTTGTCACCCACCTCTACTTCCCCTGTTAGTTCCTCCCTGTTTGTGAGCAGAAGGTCAAGCTGCGCACGGCCCCTGGTCGGATCCTTCCGCACTTGTACCAAGAAGTTATCCCCAACATTCTCCAACAACTTCCTGGATTGCCTGTGTACTGCCGTATTGGTTTCCCAACAGATGTCACGGTGATTAAAGTCCCCCACGAGAACCAGGGCCTGTGATCTGTAAGCTTCTCTCAGTTGTCCGAAGAAAGCCTCATCTACCTCATCCACCTGATTCGGTGGCCTGTAGTAGACAGCAACCACAACATCACTGCTGTTGTTTGCATCTCTAAACTTAACCATAGATTCTCAACAGGTTTTTCTCCCTCTATATACTGGAGTTCAGAGCAGTCATAGTGCTCTCCTACATATAGTGCAACTCCTTCTGCTTTTCTCCCCTGCCTGTTCTTCCTGAACAGTTTATACCCTTCCATGACAGCGTTCCAGTCATGCGAATCATCCCACCAAGTCTCTGTTATCCCAATTAAATCATATTTCTTGGACTGTCGCTCTATGTGGGACGGAAGCAGGGCTACAAACATGGCCAGTTTGAGCCAATCGGCACCTTTCAGGCTTTGCCCACAAGGCTAAGCAGCCAGAACTTCCCACAATTCCTGGTGCTCCTTGCACCTCCTGCCTGGGGGCTAGAAACTCAGACACCCTATACCCATCTGCTCCAGCCAGCCCAGGAGACACCTCGCCATTGTAGATCATGTTCCCAGTGGAGACTGTGTTCAAAGGATCCCAGCCACAGGCCTCATGTTGAGCCCTGCGTAACCCCAACCGCACTGTCGATCGCAAACAAACGGTCCACGGACTGCATGTCGAGCAGCCTTGATGTAGAGAGTATTTCTAGCGCATGTGTATAGCTCTATATACAACCCATACTTTCAATATTTTGATTTAAGAGCATGTCACTAGGTATCATATCACTTACCTTACAACACAGTGTTTGGCTAAATGTCGCAACAAATATGTTGAATATGCTCTTTGTCAATTGACAAAAAGGGGCCTTTAGGGACACAATATACAAAGTAAACTGGTTGAACCTTTCTGGCAACATCCATAGTCCAGCATGATTTTAGTTACTTAGATGTCTATTTATTATGGGTGTGGCCAAGTTTCCTGCGGTTCCATGTAGTTTGTTTACAGTCTTGGTTCTCAACATTTTGTGCTGTCATTTAGCTCTAATTTACTCCTAAATGCCTTCTGAGAGCCCAATAAGCAGCGGGAGTGTTGGTAATGCTGCTAGACAATATTAACCACCTGTGGTTTGGCAAATTCTCTGGTTCGGCACCAGTCAGATCCAAAGGATGCCAGACTAGAGAGCTTTAACCTGTAGTAATTTTAGGTGGTGTTTAACAAAAGTAAACCCAGCATCTTCAGGCAGAAATGTCATTACATTGACCCTTCAAGGCAGGGTGGGGAACTTTTTTTTGGTTAGAGGCCACTGACCCACAGAAAAATCAGTCGAAGGCCACACACAAGTAAAAAGCAGTCTCCTCCCCCCAACAAACAAACAAACAAACAAAAAATACCACTACTCTAATCTAGCTCCCTAAGAGCAAAAAACCAAAAAGCAAACACTAAAAATCACTAATCTGGTTCTGAAAAAGAAAAAAAACAACAAAACTTAGTGACTTGGCTCCCAACAAGCTTAAAAAAAAAAAGCCGGAACTCAGTCAGTGGACAAGGCATATCATCCTATTGGCTCATCATTTTGCTGGCTGACTTACATAAAATTGCTGGTGGATGTGGAAGATTGTCATTTTAGCTCTAATAATAGTGTCCGCCCTTACAAAGAAAAATAGAGTAGCAAGAAGATCATTGTGAAATAAAATGTCCACTAAATTATGTTCAAAACAAAACACAGCAAGCAACTTGCTAACTATCTCATCTTACTCATTTACTCCATTCACTCATTTGTATTTTTCTTGTGTGTATATATAGTAATGATCCAAGTTATTTGTCAAATATTCACTACAGTACTAATGGTGATTTAGTATTTGTATTACGATAGCATTTAGAAGCCCTACTTATGAATCAGGATCCTATTGTGCTAATTGTTGTACAGTTTGTATCACTGATAAATTAACATTGTTTCTAATGGAGGTGTTTATAGCACAGACACAAACACTGCTATATTGAGACAGTATTTGTTCCTTTTACAGTAATTATGCAATTCAGGGTTTGTCTGCCTGGAAAAACTCTAGATAACTATTGAAATATAAACTGTCCTGGAATATCTATTCCAGATTAGCAGCCCACATTCATGCTCTTATTCAAGAATAAGGGTGTCTGTACACATAGCTGTATTGTAATTGCTATTATGTTTTAAATTCACAACCTACCTTATTTCTGTATAGTGTTCCTGTGTAGATAAATCCTAACTTAAATTACCTTTTAATTCTTAGATCTTTTTCTAGTTTATGCATGTAATTTTTTTCTGGAACTTTAGATTAGAAAAAGACCAACGTAAACCAATCATTAGTTCAAATCATTTATCACTTGTTTTTAACACAGAAAGGATTGATCATACCTTATCTCTTACTATCTATGCATGAAGACCATATTTTTTTCTGCTTTTGTTTGTTTTTCTCTTTGAAGTGTCTGTGAGAGAGACATGATTACTTCATTCAAGTTTTTTTGTACTCTAGAAATCAAAGGACCTTTCTTTTTTGGAGAGTGAAGGAAAGAAGACAAAGGGTAAGAGACGAAAAAGAAGGAAAGAAAGCTCTCAAGACGTAGATGAAGAAATAGAATCTGTTTTGCATAAGAAAGGTGAGATATGTGATTTCTGAAATTGCTTTCTGAGTATGTGGGTGGGTGGTAGCTGCATCAATTAAGATCAGAGATAATTCTGCACTTCCAAAATGTTGGTATTTTTTGGGGGGGGCGGGAGTCTGGAGACTTTCAGGGAGATGTTGATCCTTCATGTTGCACTATAAAATATTCCAGTCCTGTAACTGGTGCACAAGAAATAGTTCTTTCTGTATAATCTTTTAACGTAAGTGTTGAGATCAGTGTCTGTCCTGTGGATGTTTGTAGTCACTGGCTTCTGCTGTGTCTAAATTTTAATAACTTCATTTATTCCCTTTACTCTTTCTGCCTGCAGTTAAAACTAAAGGACCAGAGCTACAATTCCCTTTAGTGAAATTTGAGGATGTGGGAGGCAATGATGAAACTCTGAAGGTTAGTTTTAATTAAACCCTTACTATATTACTTAGATGACAATGAATAAAACTACATCTATACAAAATGAGGGAGGTGGAGCCAAAGCAGGACTGATTTGCATAGGAGCTCAACAAATAATATGCAAGACTAACAGCTGTCTCTAAACGACTTATGCAGTCAGCAAGACTAGCTATAGATCTTAACTCAAACTTACCACCCTTATATCAGTTACTGAAATAAATGAGACAGAAGTTATCCTTCTATGCATTTTAGTGTATACATTTTTTTTTTTTTTCTGTCTGCTCTATTTTTATCTTTTTCCTTATAGGAAGTATGTAAGATGCTGATACACGTGCGTCACCCTGAAGTATACAACCACTTAGGTGTAGTCCCACCACGAGGATTTCTTTTACATGGACCACCGGGGTGTGGAAAGACATTACTAGCCCAGGCAATTGCTGGGGTGAGACTGCATTAATATGTGATTTCCCTTCCTTCAGTCTGCTCTATTAATTGGACTTAAGATAGGGAAAGGGTTGATAGACTAGAATGTTTTCCTCTTTGCTTTTATCTATTTTGCCTCTTCTATCTTATCTCAAAATAAACATCCATTAGAATTTAAATAGCAGAAATGCAACTTGAATCAGGATTATTCCTTGATAGAGCATCATGCAAGGGAAAAATATTGCATTAAAAGTTCAGTTTATTCTTGCAAGCATTCACAATGAATGGACTTTCGAAGGCCATGTATTAATGTAAAATTTGATCTGTTTACAGTAGAAGTTTTCAGCCTGGATTTTTTTTTTTTTTTTTTTTGGGCATGAAATCTGTTTTTGGCTGTTACATGGCTGACTTTATGGGACGGTAACCCCATGACTTTAAACTTGGAAGTTACCATACAACAGCTATTTGGTCTTTATCAAATAAGATGATGATTTATTCTCATCAAACAGCCACATCTACAAGTAGCATTCTTATCGCTGATTTCATCAGAAAGGTCAGGGATTATTATTGCATTTTAGTTCTGAGAATGAACCACTTTTTAATTGTAGAGGGTACCTGCAATTCAGGCTAAAGACAGTTAGTTTTATGGCATGATAGAGCAGTTGCACTGTCACTGTCTTTGGGCCTGTTCTGGGGATAAATGAAGGACTTGTATTGCCAAGCTTGTCCATACAGTATCTCTTTTTTGTTTTTAATGCTACTTTCACTTAAATGGCTGTGGGCTATATAAATTGTTAAAGTGGGAGCTGGAAGACAAGTTTAAAAATTTCATATTGATGTTCTTTACATTTATTCCAGGAACTTGAACTTCCGATGCTCAAAGTAGCTGCTACTGAAGTTGTATCGGGAGTGTCTGGGGAGTCTGAACAGAAGCTGAGAGAGTTGTTTGAACAAGCAGTGGTGAGGCCAGGGGGCTGAGCTTATAAATTGCTTGCTCCTTTCTCTTCATAAAACCTTTTAATGGTCCCTTTCTGCTGCTACAATTTGAATTTGATTAAATTATTTGTATTACTGTCAAACCTAGGATCCTCATTCATGTACTAGGGCCCCCATTGTGCTAGGTGCTGTACAACCCCAGAACAAAGACACTCCCTGCCCCAAAGAATTTTCAATGCAATATAAATTATAATATAATTAACGTATAGGTCACTGTTAGGCAATTCACTGCATAAAATGCTTGGCTTTTATATATACTTTGCATGGGATAACCTTTCATCCAGGAGAAGGTTTTAAGGTACTTTTGAACCTAATTGGGTCCAAACTCAAGCTGTAAAAATCAAGAAATAACCCGCCACGCTGCACTGCAGGGGCCGTCCTGCCCACCTTAGGTCCCGTGCCCAACGCCTGTGGCCCTCAGCGCCATCTGGGACTCGTCCCCTCCCGTCCGTGAGGTTACATAAGCAACCCTCTCTCCCACCCTCCTCCGTCGGCATGCAGTGCCCTGACCCCCACAAGCACAATGGCTTGGGCACTTGCTCTGTCCTGTTCTCCGTTTCCTTCCCTCCCTCCCCACAGCACCTGCAGCTCAGGGTGCAAGCTGGGGTGCCCCTCCCACATGTAACCTCACCTCCACCCGGAGTCGCACCCCCCTCTCCTCCCGGGATGACATGGACCTGTATTTTAATCCCCATAGAAATCAGTGCAACTTTTCTACCATTCAAAAAAAGATAATGGACTACTGTTTTTCTACGTTTTGTTCTTCCAGTTTACCGAGCAACACCGGGTAACTCCAGCTAGTCTTAAATATACAAGAGTACCTCTGTGTTACTGGTGTAGCCTATACTAAGGATGTGAATGGTTAATATCACCCTTAACAGGTGATGCTTACTGGTTGTGATGAACTGCTGGTGATTGTTCCAGCCCCACAGGGCCTACCTCAGGCAGGCGATGTTCCAGCCAGGCTGGAGTGGCCTTCCCGTCCGCCCTCCCTTAATCAGTTAACCATGTAAACATTATGTTTAACCGGTTAACTAATCAAACAGAACTTTATATTCCTAGCCCATGTTATTCACATGAATAATAACTTCCTAAAATCAGGCAACATTGGTGAAATCCAGACTAGATTGGCAGTGACCATACACTGATCTTGAGAGTATCTTAGTCTGTCTAGTTCTCAATGACAAGCGAAGAAAAATAGAAGGGGTAGGCTATTTACTAAAAATAACTTAAGTAAATCTCAGTATAGGCCCATAAGTCCTCTATATTTGCCTTTTGAGAATACCTGCTTTTCCTTCTCCATTCCCCACCATCACCGCTGTTTTGAGGCCTCTCAACACATGCACCAGTCTTCTTCATAGGATTCAGAGAAAGTAAGGATTCTGGAATAGGGTTAGTTCCTGTCCCACTTTGAACCTGAACTGCTGTTTTGCATTTAAAAAGCCATTATTAGAAACAATAGGGAAACAAGAACCAAACTCATGGTATAAAATGTATAATGTGGTTTAAAAAAAATATTCCTTACATTTAAAATGGTCTGGCTCTTAGATATCAAAATTAACTTTCAATGGAATTTATTACATAAAACAAATTTTGAACTAAAACATCTTTTTTTAATGTTAGCCACTTATATTTGTTACCTTAAATTGCTTTTTCAGTGACTCTTGTGTCTCAACAAAAGACTTTATTCTAGCATGTACCGTGTTTTTGTACTGTAGTTCCTTCATAGCATAATCATGCTCTTTCTGCGCTAAAAATGCTGATAAACTCAGAGAAATAATACAGGAAAAGCTGGATGACACACATGCTACGCTAGATTTACAGCTTTATCTGCCTTTCTAGATCAAGATATGTTAGTATAAAATGAAAGGCTGCAGAAATCTGTTATGATTTATGTGTTCCCTGCGTTAGCTCCTTGAACTTGATCTGATTCTTCTACTAACCTGAGTTAGCAAATGGTTTCTGTTATCACCCATGTCTCCCCCTTGTCCATTATGTGGGGTTAGCTCTCCAGATTCTACAGCATTAGTGACGACTTGCCTCCGCCCTAAAAAAAAAAAAAGTTAAATACCTCAATCTCTCTCTTGGACTTGAATATTTTCAAATCAGCAAACAACTGCCACTGTGTAGTGTCTGTAGAAGATACAGAGCGACCTAAAATATATTTTTGAAAAAAATCTTGTGCTTTAGTTTCCTAATGATCTCAGCGCTATGCACAGTTCCATAGTATATTTGTTCTTCATTCTCTAAAGGAGAGCAGGGCTGTTGCGGGGAGGAAAGGGGCATTGGGGTTTGAGACTGGGTGGTTGTTCAGAGTATATGACAGCACTTAAAGTAATATATATATCTTTTAAGCTTTGACATGGGAAAACTACTTTTCTTAAATTATTACTTCTTATTGCAGTGTATATCTCTAGTGTTTACAGTGGTGTTCTTGTTCCTAGTCCAATGCACCATGCATCCTTTTCTTAGATGAGATTGATGCAATTACACCAAAAAGAGAAGTTGCATCGAAAGACATGGAGCGGAGAATTGTCGCCCAGCTTTTAACCTGTATGGATGGTAAGTTTCAGCAGTGAAATTACCATACTTTATTTTTTAATTAACCTCCTTCCTCTTTTGAAGTTTAATTTTGGTTCTATGTTAACTTCTTTAAAATTAGATTTAAATTGAGGTTTGACCAGTTTTGATAGATAAAGATCCCAAGGCATTTTTGCTGAAGTGGGGGATATGAAGGACAGTTTCCTGTTTAAAATCTTTTTATATAACTTCTTTCTGCTTTATTAGATTTTCTGCACATCCAGTGACACACACTTACTTTTTGTGGATATGATGGAATTAACTTCCTGTCCTGTCTAGCAATGTCATTATGCACCATTAACAGTAGCATATTTCATCCTAAATGCAGTTTCTTTTCTGTAAGAAGGGAAATTATTCCTGAATGTTGTAATTTACAGATGAATTTATGCAGAACCCTTGAAACCCTTTCAATAGTATGTAAATATATATGTTGGAAAAGTGCTATGTAAATTATGTTTCAAATGCTTGAGATTGTGCTTTACACAAACTGTGTTGCTAGTAGAAATAAAGATAAGTATCTAGAAGTTCTTGTGCTTAAAAGAGAAGCAACTGTTTAGCATAACAGTTATGGTTTCCCAACAATGATCAAGAGTAAATATGTTTTTGCAGCACAGATTTAAGAAAGAATAATGTAAATAGTGATGTTCCAACAGGAAGATACAGCTCTTTTCTGAGTACATGTTTATTGTCTTCCATCCTCAGACCTGAATAATCTGGCTACCACTGCTCAGGTCCTAGTCATTGGCGCTACTAACAGACCAGACTCGTTGGACCCAGCATTGAGGCGCGCTGGAAGATTTGACAGAGAAATTTGTCTAGGGATTCCTGATGAAGCATCTAGAGAGAGGTATGTCTTAGTAGGCTAACGCTTCTGATTAGTATAATGGTTGCAAATTAGTGGACCATTAAGGACAAATGTTCAGCACAAAGAAGCAGAGGCATCCAATCAGTCTGCACAGGTAAGTGGAGAAAGGGTAACAATAAGTATATCTCTGTGTTGTCTCTGTCCAATCCATCCTGTGGATGCATGGATAAATCTTCTATTAATGTTGTATTAACAAATGTTCTGGGCAACTCTTTAAGAAGATCTGGAGTTGACAATACAAATTTGTCCGGCTCTCTGTCCTTAAATCTCTTTATTCACCTGTCATAGTTCCAGGGCACAAATACACCTTAGGTCAGTGGTCTCCAACCTTTTTACACCCAAGATCACTTTTTAAATCTCAGAACAGGCGAAGATCTACCGCCCCACCCCTTCCTTGAAGCCCCGCCCTCTCTATTCTCCTCCTGTCCATCACTTGCTATCCCCAGCCCTTACTTACACACTCTGGTAAACAGTTTATTTTTAAATTATGCAATACATACAATTAAAATCACATGTTTATAGTTATGAAATAAATGGTCTGTTTTTTATTCATGCTATTTAAATCTAAAATGAAGCATTTATAATTATACATTTTGTGGGGACATAGTACTGTCACTGGGGGCAGGGGAGAGGGAACAGGGTGCTGGGAGGGCAGAGGACAGGATTCTGCAGCAGGGGACAGAGTGCCAGTGGGGACAGAGTTCGGGGAGTGGGGACGCGAATGGGGACAGCATTCTGTAGTTGAGGACAGGGGAGTGGGGACAGGGGAGTGGGATGCCAGTGGAGGCAGAGAGTCCCTTGCATCTCCCTCCTCCCAGCATTTGCCCCCCCCCCCCCGAAACCAGTGCGTGCCTGCCCCGGGGCCAAACCCCCCCGCGCAGGGAAGCCCCGCAGGCGCTTGTCCCGGCACCAACCCCCTCCCTGCGCCGGGAAGCCCCGGGGCCAAACCCCCCCGCGCAGGGAAGCCCCGCAGGCGCTTGTCCCGGCACCAACCCCCTCCCTGCGCCGGGAAGCCCCGGGGCCAAACCCCCCCGCGCAGGGAAGCCCCGCAGGCGCTTGTCCCGGCACCAACCCCCTCCCTGCGCCGGGAAGCCCCGGGGCCAAACCCCCCCGCGCAGGGAAGCCCCGCAGGCGCTTGTCCCGGCACCAACCCCCTCCCTGCGCCGGGAAGCCCCGGGGCCAAACTCCAGCGCGCCGGAAGCCGACACTACCTCCGTCTTCTCTGGAGGTAAGTAGTGAGACTTCTGGAGGGGTGGGAGGGAAATGGGGGTGGGGCTTACAGGACGCCTCGTGAGCGACTGGTCGAGGCCTCGAGATCGACCAGTAGCTCGCGAGCAACCAGTTGGTGACCACGGCCTTAGATTCTTTAGTACCTTTTGAATGGTTTCCTGAGATGACAAGCCTGACTTTTTGCACTCAATTCTAAGTGGAGCCATGTGATTCAACTATGCTTAGAGTGGATCTCTAGGTTGCAGCTGCTTTGTTTCCTAACCACCTTACTGCAGTAGACCCAAATGCATTTGGCACTAATAAACCCTTTCATTCTGGGCCCTTCAGTGAATTGACTAAAACAATTCAAAAACAGTGTCTTCAAAACAAAAATTATTTATTAATTTACCAAGGATACAAAACCAGTAGAGCAAAGAGTAAAAACAATGGCAAGCCTGCTCTTTGGTCTTGCTTACAAATGTTGGTAAGGCAAGAATAAGATGAGCTAAGTATAGGGTCCTGTAATGGTTTCTTAAATCTTAAATGAATCAACATGTTCAACAGAGTCACTATGGATAGTAATTCCATGCTCCAATAATAAGAATATAGCGGTAGGGATATATTATCGTCCACCTGAGCAGGACAGTAATAGTGACATTGAAATGCTAAGGGAGATTAGAGAGGCTACCAAAATAAAAAACTCTATAATAATGGGGGATTTCAATTATCCCCATATTGACTGGGTACGTGTCACTTCAGGAAGAGATGCAGAGATAAAATTTCTCAATGGCTTAAATGACTGCTTCTTGGAGCAGCTGGTACAGGAACCCACAAGAGGAGAGGCAATTCTCAATTTAGTCCTGAGTGGAGGGCAGGATCAGGTCCAGGAGGTAACTATTACAGCACCACTTAAGAATAGTGACCATAATATAACAACATTTAACATTCCTGTGGTGGGAAGGACACCTCCGCAGTCCAGCACTCTGGCATTTAATTTCAAAAAGGGGAATTACACAAAAATGAGGACGTTAATTAAACAGAAATTAAAAGGCACAGTGACTAGAGCCAAATCCCTGCAAGCTACATGGAAACTTTTTAAAGAGGCCATAATAGAGGCCCAACTTAAATGTATACCCCAAATTAAAAAATATAGTGAGAGACCTAAAAAAGAGTCACTATGGCTTAACCACCATGCAAAAGAAGCAGTGAGGGACAAAAAGGCATCTTTCAAGAAATGGAAGTCCAATCCCAGTGAAATAAATAGAAAGGAACATAAACACAGTCAAATTAAGTGTGAAACTGTAATAAGAAAAGCAAAAAAAGATTTTGAGGAACAGCTAGCCAAAAACTCAAAACACAATAGCAAAATGGTTTTAAAGTACATTAGAAGCAGGAATCCTGCTAAAAAACCAGTGGATCCCTTAGACAATCGAGATACAAAAGGAGCAATCAAGGACGATAAAGCCATTGCGGAGAAGCTAAATGATTTATTTGCATCAGTCTTCATGGCTGAGGATGTTTCATATACTTCTTATCTAGGCCATTTCTTTTCCGTTTTACAATCCCTGTTGATTGTATGGCAAATAACCCATCCTAAATAAACAGAGGTATGTCCCGTGTTCTTAAAAATTGATATTTCATAGTTTGTTATATTGACATATTAATAATTCACAACTTGTGCCATTTCAAGGAGAAGGAATGGTGAATGGGAGGAGAACCTTCAGTGATCTTGCTCACATGTGAGTGAGATTGCTTGGACAAGAAAATCTTGAGCATTCTTTTGAACAGTTGAATCATGGAGTCTTAGCATTCCTCCATATTGTTTTCTTAAAGGACAAAAAAAAATCAGTCTTATGCATAGGAGTATGACAAGAGGGTAACAGAGTAAGGGAATAAGTTACAGGTATTGTCAGTTTCATTTAATATACAACAAACCCATTATATAGAGGGAATGTTTCTAAATGATTAGGATGTGGCTAGCAATCCAGGTGCCCAGGAGCAGCTGGAATGAAGGGGATTTGTTTAGAGTTGGGTCCCATTTTACTGATTGCGTTTGTTTTTTATTGACATGTGAGGCCCCACAAGCCCGCAGAGCATAACCCTTCCTGACAGATCACTTCTCTGTAGGCCATGCTAGCTGCCAGGAGAGGCTCCGAACTCTAAACACGAATGAACTATTTTATTGGCGGGTGGGGCAGGAGCAGGAAAGATACAGAGGGAGGATTGGCTCATGATGTGGGAGTGTGAGTGGGCATGATGGGCCGAGAGCATTTGGATAGAGGGTCCTGTCCAGGGGTGGGGAGCAAAGAAAGTTGCGAGTAACTTGGGGCCATGGAGAGCATAGTCAGACTCAGTGCAAGATTAACAGGCTCTCTGGCTGCGAAAGTGGCCAGTGAGAGTGGGGTTGGTGAGCATAGCGAGCAGGGGGCATAGCCCCTACTAGTAATTTAATAAATTGTTCCAGTCAAAGCTTTAGCACAGTGCTAACAGCTTGGATAAATGATGCCCAGATCAAATAGAAAGTATTTTTTAAATGTAAAAGAATACTAAGGGTATGTCTACACTTGCATCCTCTTTCGAGAGAGGGATGCAAATGCAAACATTTGAAATTGCAAATGAAGCCGGCATTTAAATATCCCACATTTCATTTGCATATTTGCGTTATGGCGCTATTTTGAAATAACAGACGCTGTTAAGACGTGAAAACCCTTCTCTTGAAAAAACCCTTATTCCACATACAATGAGGTTTACCAGTTATTTCGAGGTTTGCATCTTCATTTGTCTTACCAGCATCCTTTCCAGTCCTCAGGTGAAAGGATTACTGGGCCTTAGGAAGGAAATCTTTTAACCTCTGACATGGAGAATGCTCTAGAAGAAAGGAAAAGTATCCATGTTCTAATTTAAAAAAATTTGTTAATGTGAAGGGAGGAACATATTTGATGACACAATTTGAATGAATTCATCTTGGATTAGCAAGTAAATTGTATCGGTTGGTAGAATTTGTGAGCATCAGCCAGAGCAATAGTCTAGAAATTCCTTAATATTTCTCTGCTCCTGTATCTCTAGCTGCTGTCTTTTTTTTTTCCTTTAACACTTTTTTTTTATTCTCATTAGCTACAGAGAAGTGCTCCAACATACTTCATATTTATATTGTGCCTTTTTTAAGCTGGTCCTTAAACTAGACCTGCCTGCTCATGTTCTGCAAACAAAAACAGGGTTCTTGTAAAAAATTGAGTAGTTACAGAGTAAACAGATGATGTCATGTGCAGAAATGTGAACCAAGTAATCATTTGAGTGGGTGGTAACCCATTTGAGCTTTGGTGGAACCCAGCTAGGACATCATCTACCAGTTTAAGTCCAGTGTTGGTTTATTGGATTTTTTTGAAGACCTAACAGAACCTGTAGTTCATTCTAATGAACATCACCTAGCTGATACTCGAAGTTTCTTTTAGAGTATCAGAAGAGAATATAAGGATTAGTTTTGTGACTCTCAGCATTAAGTGACTTTCCAGTTATGTGTGAATTATTTGGTTTTTGTACAAAGGTGAAAATAAGCCAGTGCAACGCACCAGTAAGAGACTGGCTGGCTGGAGGTTGGGCTTTGGATGCTGCTGGCACTGTGAGCCACACACACATCTACCCTGAGAACCCCACTCCCTGCCCTAACTCCTGCAACCCCCCCTCTCCGGACCTGCAAGTACTGTCCTCTCTCACACACACACCCATACCACACCCTGACCCTTGCCAAGGGAGGTTGCAATACAGTATCTGTAAGAAATTTTAAGTAATCTCATACCATTAGGATCTGTCCAAGTGCACTCAGATGACTTAAATCTCTGAGCAATGATGTTTGCTTTCATGTTGGAAGGAAAGTTATTGCCACTTATTTTTTTGTTTTCCTCTTGAACAGAATTCTACAGACCTTGTGCCGAAAACTAAGGCTCCCTGAATCTTTTGATTTTCAGTATTTAGCCCATATGACTCCAGGGTATGTAGGTGCTGATTTGATGGCACTTTGTCGTGAAGCAGCTACGTGTACAGTAAACAGGGTCCTGATAATGTTGGAGGAACAGAAATGGAAAGGTGTACAAGTTGGAGAAGCAACGACTGAGCGAAGCTTAGAGACTGGAACAGAAGCACTGGTAGAAAAGGATATTAAACATTTAGAGCTTCCTGCTAAGGTATTAATCCATCATTGCACTCATTTCACAATTCCTTAAGGCTGCGGTTATCAGCCAATCAGTTGTTATTGACTGGTCCATCCTGGGAACTTTCCCAGTAGATCGTGATCTCTGGCAGTGTAATAGGCCAGCCTTTATGGCAGGGTTTCTTCCTGCCTTCCCTGGTCCAATGCCGCTCCTGGAAGCAGCCAGCATGTCCCAGTGAGGGAGGAGCAGAGGTCTTGGCATACTGCTTCTGCCTGCAAGCACTGCCCCCCAGTTCCCATTCACCAGGAACTGGAAACTGGCCAATGGGAGCTAAGAGGCTGGTGCCACCAGAGAGCGGCAGTGTTTTGAGCCCCCTGCCACCAAAGCCCACAGTGGCATAGATATGTACTGAAAGCTTATTATAAATGGTCACTGACTTTCAAGGGCTGCATAGAATTAAAAGTAAATGAATGGCTGAAATTCCCAGTGCTGCTCCACAGAACGAGTGACATGTATCTGTTCTGAGCAATGACCTTAAAAAAAAAAAAAAAAAGAATTAATGAATGTAAACAGATTCGTTGGCAGACCCCATAAAAGAGTCAAGATTGCGTGTACAGCCTGGAGAGAACTCTCTCTGGAGCAGTGTGGGAGGAAGTTTTCATTACCAATGCCCCTGTTGGACTTGTTTTGAGAATGTAGGTGCATATCGATATTGATAGATTTGAACTAAGACCCGAGGGTATGTCTACACTAGCCGCCTAGTTTGAACTAGGGTGGCTAATGTAGGCATTCGAACTTGCGAATGAAGCCCAGGATTTAAATATCCCAGGCTTCATTTGCATGTTCGAATGCTTACATTAGCCACTCTAGTTCAAACTAGAGGGCTAGTGTAGACATACCCCCAGATAAGTTGATCTGTCACCTTTTTCCAGTGTTAAATTCTCACATACTGTGTCTTGAATATTGCCACGTTGGATTCTGGTAGGCTCAGGGTTTCCCCTACAGCCAAAGAAAAATGACTTTGTTCTTAGAGCTTAAAATCTTGTCCGTTCTTTCTTCTTTCTGCTTCCCTCCCCCTCAGTATGAATTGCAGAGGCTGCTGGAATTGCTAAAGGATGAAAATCCCCTGCTGGAAGAGCAGCTGCAGAAGCTCTGCATCGAAATGAATGATTTCATTGTTGCGCTGTCTTCAGTGCAGCCTTCCGCCAAGAGAGAAGGCTTTGTCACAGTCCCTGATGTGACATGGGCAGATGTTGGAGCCCTGGAGGACATTCGGGAGGAGCTCACAATGGCAATATTGGTAGGCATGAATGCTGTTTTAAAGAACTGTTAGGTGGTACAATGCTAAGATATCTAGCCAGAGTCAAACTTACATGGTATTTTCTTTGGGCATATACCCAGGGTTTTATGAGTTCCAAAGCATACTGGTCCTAAATTCTATTGAAGGTCCCAGGATTCTGCTGCATGCTGGTGTAGCAAACTGGGAATTCTTTTGCACTTTCATTTAAAATTATAGCATTCAGACATCTAACAAATATGAAAATAAATCATAATGCAATCAAACAGATCTGTTTTTTCTGAATCTAACTTGTTTTACACTGTCCCACTCTTCGAGTTTTTGGTGTATTTTGAAAGTAATGAATAACTGCACCTGACGTGTCATGGAAGTTTTGGCAGCTGTGTTCGGATAACTGAATAGGTGGTACTTTGGAAGAATGAGGCGCAGTTTGGTGTTGTAGGATAAGCATATTAGCTGGGTGCTGCTTCTATGAAAAGACCAGCAGTGAAATAGTTGTCATCTTAGTGCCTGCCCAACATGCCTAAGGTGGCACGTGACAAGGCTTGATCACCAAATTTGGTTTGTTGGTTGGATCGTTAGCTTCTCCAATTTGGAAGTACTGACGGGAGTGTGACATGAACATTGATACATGCCTCCCAGTGAAATAGCTAGTGGTGTTGATATTTAAGATATCTGTAAATTCAAGAAGATAGTTACATTGATTTATACACTCCTTACGTTTCCATGTTTTGTCTTCATAGCAAGATAGGCTAGGAAAATATTTTACTTTTAAATTGAAAACTTACATTCTAAAGCAGGGGTCGGGAATTCCTGGCACACATGCGTATGTGAGGAGATTCTTTTTACGGGGCACGTGGGGCAGGAGCTCAACCCCACCCTCCCTCCATGCATTGCGGGGGGAGCAGGGCGGGAGAGGCCTGTGCACACGCGCATCCCTGGGGCTGCTTCCTGCTTTGGGGAGGGGGGGGGGGCTGGGCGGTTGGCCCATGTGAAGCACTGGAGCCCAGGCTGCACCACACTGCTTCCCGCGAGCTGTGTGTGGAGGTGGGGAGCCCCTTCCCCAGAGCCCCGCTGCACCCGGCTGGGCTGGAGCCAACCCTGGGCAGCCCCAGGCTCTGTCTACCTCAGCCCCGGAACCACAGCTTGCAGGCAAAGGGCTAGGCCAGGGAGGGAAGAGACTCTTTTCTAACCCTCCCCTACTTCCCTCCCTCCCCCCGCCTCTCCTTGCCCTTGCACTGCTCCCATGGGGCTGCGAGTCTCAGCGCTGCGGCCCTGCCAGTGAGTGCGCTGGGGGGCACAGAGATGTGGGGGAAGGAGGAGAGGTGAAGGAGGGGGCAGGAGTTTCATTGAGGGGCATGGAGCAATGCAGGGACAGAGGAAAGATGTGAGGGGGGGATACAATTTTACTTTGCAGACACTGCAGTTTCCTTTACTCTCCACTTCTTTGCCTCCCTCCCCAACTAGCTATTTGGCTGCATTCTCATTCTCTGTCACCTTTTGGCTGTGTCTACATTGGCACCCTTTTCCTTAAAAGGGATGCTAATGAGACAAGTCGGAATTGCAAATGCCGCGGGGGATTTAAATATCCCCCGCGGCATTTGCATGAACATGGCTACCGCTTTTTTCCGGCTCGGGGCTTTGCCAGAAAAAAGCGCCAGTTTAGACGGGATCTTGCGGAAAATAAGCCCTTTTAAAGTAGGAATAAGGATCTTCCGGAAAAGGGCTTATTTTCCGCAAGATCCTGTCTAGATTGGCACTTTTAAGCATTTTCCAGAAGATCCCTTATTCCTCTTAAAATCAGGAATAATGGATCTTCCGGAAAAGGCTTTATTTTCCAAAAGATCCCGTCTAGACTGGCGCTTTTCTCCGGCAAAGCCCCGAGCCGGAAAAAAGCGGCAGCCATGTTCATGCAAATGCCGCGAGGGATATTTAAATCCCCCGCAGCATTTGCAATTCCGACTTGTCTCATTAGCATCCCTTTTCCGGAAAAGGGTACCAATGTAGACACAGCCAATGTGTGTTATTCCCCCAACCTCCTTCTCATACTCCCACTCCACACACTCTCCTGCTGACAGACTCCCTTCCAGACTTGCCCTCCTCACCCAGTCCTGAACCCCAGCCAATCCAGATCCTGCATCCTTATCCCACGCACTGGCAGCTCTGTCCCACGCATTGAACTGCTCATTTTTGTTCCCACCCCAGAGCTGAATGGTGACCACAAAATCCACTAACTCTGGAACTCCAGAAAAGTAAATCTGGCCTATGGGAAGCCCTGAGCCTCAGTCCTCCCTCTCCCTTCCCCTTCCCCGTGGGGGGCTGGAGTGCCAGAAGAGTGAGGTGTCTCAGTTGGTGGCCACATCAGTGAGGGTTGGGGGTTTTGGGAGGAGTTTTTGTGCTTCTTTCTTGTGTGGTCCTCAACTGATTTTTCTGTGGGTCAGTGACCCTCGACCCAGAAAAGGTTCCTCACCCTTTCCATAAATAAAAACATTGAAACCTTTTGTGTTGGACATAATATTTTACTTTATTTAAAATGAAATTTGATAAACAAACATGAGAAAGTTAAAACACGTAATCTGTTTAATAATTTAAATTAAACCATTCTACCCAGCTGCAGCACTAGCAAAATGGCTCAGGCGTAATTATGTAATTAATGGTGTTTTCATTAGCAACTGGTAGTCTGTGGAAAGGTTTGCATTGACCCTGGGAGTCCACAGGCCACATGGTGGAGAGAGCCCTTCTCCTCCTCCCGAGAGATGGCATGGCCCATGGCAGAAGGATTAAATCTTAGCACGCCACTTTGGATAGGTTTCTGACCCCTGTTCTAGAGCAGTTTCTCTCAACCTTTTTTTTATAAAGTACCCCTTTTTAAAAAAAATAAGTACCCCTACTACCTAAAGTTTTCAGACACACACATTTTTTCCTATCATTGCAACACATTTGTGTAAACAACTTAATCATAGCCAGGCGAGTAATGAAATTTTTGGGTGTAAAAAGTGCAAAAATAATAATGCGCTGTAAAACATAAAACAAAAATTCAGTTTTCTCCAAATTTCAGTTGTGTTGACGTACTACCCTCCAGACTTCTCTCAAGTTACCCCTAAGGGTACTCGTACCACTTGTTGAGAAACACTTTTCTAGAGCATAGTTCTTTGTCAAGGGATGGATTCTAATGCCAATGCCATGGCAAGAGTACACGGAGTCCTTCTGCACTTATCTGTAATGTATTAATGCATAATTTTTATCCATGCTTCCATATGCCTTGATTGAGGTCCTGACACCAGTTCTGTGAGGCCTTAGTTCTAGTGCTCTGAAAACTTCTGTCATATGTGATGTTTACTGCTGTTGAAATATTAATAACTTTATGAATGAACATATGTAGCTAACTTTCTAAGTTTTAGCTAAATGATCTTAAGTAATGATGGAACATTTATTGGGAAATGTATATCATTCTTATACTTCAAAAATGGTTTTGAACTGTTAAATCTTAGAGCAAAATTCATTTTTTCTGACCGTTTACTAAATTTTATCTTATAACATGTAAAATAATTGCACATGTATTTTTCACTGCAATTTACTCTTCCTTAGCAAGTCTTTACATATATTCACTATGAATACCCAGTTTAAGCAACAGGTTTTTAATAAAACAGTGTTTAAAGTCAATGATTGCACCTAAATCATGCATAAAATAGTCAGTTGTTTCTGCAAGCTGGTCCCTACTCACCTATTTTTCTGCTCCTAAATTATGCCCATATTTTTGTTGTTGAATTTTAGTGCATAGTTACACAGCTTTTGCTTTAGCTCTAACTTGCAGTTAAATGAAAATTCAGAACAGCTACAACTGATTTAGGTTTTGTTATAGGCACCTGTGCGGAATCCAGGGCAATTCAAAGCTCTTGGCCTAACAGCTCCAGCTGGTGTTCTACTTGCAGGACCTCCTGGGTGTGGAAAAACACTGCTGGCAAAGGTAGGAGTGTAAGAATGATCAGTGCTCTTCTGGCAGAAAATAAATGGGTCCAGGTCATGTGATAGGAGTTGAACTCTTGTAATTCCCCCATCAGGAGTTGAAGTACAAGCATTTCTTTAGAAGTTATACAGTTTCTTAGTAAAATAATTACAGTTTCACTTAAATGAAGAAAAAACAAGACAAAAATGAAATAGATTATAAAGAATAAAATAGTAAAGAGAGCAAAGAAAATAGTTTATTTGCAAGGCGCCCATCACTGTGGAGTCTTCCATTATGGGGGATGTGGTCAGACTTGATTGGCTGTGCTCACTTTTCTTTACCACATACTTTCTATTGCAAATACTATGGCATTTCTGCTAGAGCATTACATTTTCTTATGGCCTTCCTCCCTGTCCAACACATAGTATTTTCAGAGCTGCTTTTGGTTGATTGGTTGGTTTTTTTTTTAAATACTGTGTGCTGTTTATGGGATGAAACTTCTGTGTAGCTCCAGTCAATCATTGAGAGTTATGCAGCCAGTGTCTTAAAAATAGAACTGGGCATAATTTTTTGATGAAGCTTTCTTTGCCATATCTAGCTAGCTAGCTAGCTATGTGTTGAAACATTTTTTGAATTTGTATGGCATTTCAAAAAGTTTTTCAGCACCACCCTCCACCCCCCTGCCAAAAAAAATCCTGAGAACATTGAAATAACTTTTTTTGAATTTCACGTCAGTTTTGTTTTAAGTTAAAAACCTCAGAAACAGAATGTTTTGTTTGACCCCAAAATGATTTTTTTTGCCTTTTCATTTCTCCAAGATGGTTTTAAAAATCAAAAACTTTTTGATTTATATCAACCCAAAATTAATTGTTGTTTTGCATTATAAAGAAGGGGATAAGAAGAGTTTTGTAAATGTTGACTAAAGTTTGACAGATTATGTCCTTTTCATTGATATTCTTTACAGTTCAGTGGACAGATGAAAAATAATATCCCATCTCAGTGTCAGTATTTTCAATCTTGCCAAAATAATCAAGGAGAGGAAATAAATTGCATTTTACTGTGATGATTCCTCAGGGACTTCAGAAAGTTTACTGAAGACCAGGAGTGGGAGCTGGATATAACTGTCTTTATCTTTTTGATAGGCTGTAGCAAATGAATCTGGATTGAACTTCATCTCTGTGAAAGGTCCTGAACTGTTAAATATGGTAAGTGTTGCTCGTGGCACTTTGAATTGGATTCTTAGCCAAAGCCTCGCACAAGTTAGAATTTTAATAATTACACAGATGCAATCTATCTAGTTTTTTCCATCCATGTGCAGAATATATTTTATGTGCACTGATGCATGTGCAGATCTGCACCACCAAAATAAACACATGTTGCGAGCTCTGATTGCTCTGCTAATCATTTGGACGGCATCTGAATCTCTTTTGGGTGGCCACCCAAGCACACAGTTTACAGGGGACAGTGTACAGAAGATTGTTTGCACAACAAAAATTTCATTGTATAACCTCTTCCCGGTTCTTATAGCCTTTGTGGCAAGGCTCTTTAGAAAGAGGAATTTTAGGTGGCTTAGATCTGTCTCAGCTCAAATGATCTTTCATGGAAAAGAAAATGAGGCAAGGGTTTCCTGGTGAAGTAGACAGTTATTTGCATCATAGCCTGTTTGTAAGTAGGGCCAAACTCAAAATTTTTATTCATAATGAGAGCTGTAGGTCCTCAGCATATCTACAAATTGTTCCATATACCAAAGCAAGCTAACTACTAAGGTAACTTCAGGCAACCATGTTCTAAAATTTTATCAAAACTCATTCCCAATTTACTTTTAATAGAGGATTAAACATCAGAAAAATATGTTAATGTTCATAATATGTAGCTTAAATGTCATTGCTTTTTCTGATAAATGATTAGTACTAGTTTGAAGCTTCAGAGTCTCAAATTTCTGAGCACTCAGGTTAGATGTACTTGACAATAATTAAATTTTAATATGTGAAACAGCTGATT